AAGTAATTAAATTAAAAAAAAAAAAAAAATTCCGATCTACATACATTATGGTGGTTTGTTACCAACACAGAGGGAAAGGAGCAGAGAGTCTACAGTGATAGGCAGCTGGTTAAGTATGAGAGAGCATAGTCATATTTTTTACAAGTTAAACAAATTGTAACAGACAGCTACAAAATACTACATTTCGATAACATAAATACAGAATATATAAATATACAAGTAATACAGCCATACACAGCTAAAAAATAGGGTGTTCACTTAAAAACAGAGTTCCCAATGCAAAGTATCTGGCAGTCCCTTCACAGTCACTGCTGAGCAGAAACAGGGCATGCGGAACCGAGGGGACCCGGGCTGCATCCTTGAGGAGGGCACATGGTTGTCAGTTTATTCAGATAGGCCTCAAATGAGCAAGACCATGTTTAAATCCCACCAAAGCCAAAAGACTTCGGGTGCCTGCCAAGAGGTAGGCAAGTGCCCAAGTACCCCCTGACCGGAGGGCACAGACACCTGAAGCCCTGGCCACGCTGCTGCGGGCGCAGCATTGGCTGTCCCGTGCCACTGGGGTGGGGAGGGCGGGCTGGATGTGGACCTGCACACTCAGGGAGCGTCTGCTGTTCAGAAATGCGTGACATGGTTTGGGCAGGGGATTGCGTAAAGCGCTGGCCTGAGCGCTTGAGACTTTGGGTTCTGTGGCTCCAGCTCCCATGGCTTTGATGTGCTTCAGTAGCCTCTCTGTCCCTTCACTGTTGTGACCAAGCTCCAGGCTTGTTAAGAACCCTTCCCTTCCTCCTGGATTCTGCTGTTAATTTCTAGTGACTTTTGGGGACAACCGGAATTATTATGACATGGTTCAAAGAGGTGCTCTCGCAAACCCCAGCTTGCAGCATCCCTAGCAGCATCACAGAGCCGGGTTCCCTGGGGCACCTGGGGCGGTGGCTTGGGAAACACTTCTGATCCTTAAGGAAACTGGAAGGGAGTCCTGAGCACAGTAGGAAGAGGTAAGTGGGTTCACATCATCCCTGGAAGGTTTGCCGGCATGAAGGACCTTCCCCATGCAACGACGGCGCAGCGAGGTGGCTGAGTTGCTGCTGACAGAGTGGCAACGACCCCTTCAAGGGACCCGGCAATACTCATCCGACTCGTGCAGGGTGGGTCTGAAAAACCCACTCAGCGGCCGTCGTGAGACTCACGCGAGTCACATCTCAGGCACGGTTAGCAGCAACTGAGCCAAGTGATCTGGATGTTTTTGATGACAGAGTTTAAAGAAGAAAAGGAGATCAAAATGGCTAGGATGGTGTTTCAATCTTAGTGATTGCAACCACCACACTTACAGCAACACAACTGTCTTCCATGTCGTGACTGTGAAACGCATTTACCACCAGCCCCCAACTGCTTACGATGCGGGGTTTAATCCAGAGTGCTGCGGCAAACGGGGCTGAGAGCAGCAGTGCATGGTCGGAATTGTCCCCTCAACAGTGTCAGCCGTGCAATGGAAACGTGCTGCTGCCCAGCGGAGAGCCCGGCAGCGGGATCGAGGGCCACGCTGATCCGTAACCGCTTCTGAATGCCGGGAGATTGCGAAGCGCCACCGTTACAAATCCGGTAACTGCACAACTAAGACCTCTGAGGAAGCTAGTACCTAGCATATTCGTTCTGATCTCACAATCATCTTTTTTAAACGTTATTGAGCAAACACTGAAACCTAATCAATCATCTTTTACTTAATTGCATCTTGTTGCCACTTTAGCTTAACATGTACTCCTTGCTTAGCCAAAACAACATGATTGAAACACCGTGAAGAGCTCACTTGATGCGTTTATATTAGAGAGGGGTTAATTTCCTAGGGAAAATGATCACTGTAAGGTGCATGTAATAAACTGCTGTCATGACCTCTAGCCTTCAAGCTCCCATATGTGCAATCATTGTTTGTGGTTTCCGTGGAAGTGCCAGATGCTAAGAATTTTTGGCAAGAGTTTATCAATTTGACTCAGTGTAAGATATTACTGTGATATGGCCCATTAAACATTTTACTTTCACCTGATCGGTGACATTCCCTTGACAATAGAAGAGTAAAGCAGAAATCAAAAAGGTCAGAGGTTGCTATATAATCTTTTACTGCAGGTCCCAGGTTAAAACCACAATGATCACACTCCAGTAGGGTAATTCATTCCACAAAAAAAAAGTGACATTTATTTTGCTTTAATGAACTTTGGCCTTTGCCAGATATAACGGGTCCACTGGAAGTCATTGGCTATGCATTCCTTCCCTTGACCAGCAGCAACCCACAGTGGCATGGGAAACGTTGCGCATGCCAGAGGGCTTGACTGTCGTGCACATGGCACCAGAGGTGGTAGAATATGGGGGAACAAACAGCTAAGGCATCATCATACAACACACCAAGGGAAGAGTAGATGGTATGTACAAGCAATGAAAAGGGGGGGAAAAAAAAGAAAAAAGAAAGGCGGCAAACAGTCATCCAAAAAATCAGCAAAAGATTATGGTTACTTCAGCTATAAAATGGGATATCTGATTCTTTCCTTGGAAATGGATTGTTTTTTCAACATCCAGCCCAGAAGCAGAGGTAGAGTTGGGACAAGGCAGTTCTCCAAACTGTAGGTCACATTATAGTTCTCATATAAGTCCCTGTAAACACTAAAAATGCCATTTTGTTCCTGCTAGTAATGAGGGATGAAGCAAGGTTGTGCCTGTGTGTAGAGTCTATAAACCCGGTATGTTCGAGATGGTGAAGATGCTTGTCTACGACTCTAAAGTAGCACAGCAGAAGGGTAGGGAGGCAAACTTGATGAATCCATTGAGATTGGTGGTGACAAATGTTTATAATGTGCCATATGAAATCTGCTTGCCTTCTGCCCTGCAAGCAGTGAGGATCACCTGAGTTCTTTATAGATGTTTGCTATCATGCAGAGAAAAAGGAAATTGTTATTTATTTTGATACACAAGGAAAGGGAAATATAATTGAAGGGGATGGGTAAGAAAAGAAAATTCTTCCAATTTCAAAGCATATCCAGGGGCTCACAACCTTCAACTGAAAATCCACACCCCTGTCAGAAAGCGAGAGAATGGTCGCTAGCAAAAGCAAATGGGTGCAACGGCCCCACCCCCCTGGGCACGGCAGCCAGCGGTTTGGGCTGCCGCTGCAGAGGGAGGAGATGGGAACCTGCAGGGAGGGGAGCCTCACCCCGGCATCCTCCCAGAGACATCGGTCCCTCGGC